GTATTTTTCCTGCAACACCATCAATGCAGTAAAGTATATACAGGTTTAGGAACAACATATGGTCCAATCAAGAGCACGTCTTTTTCACAAAAGGCCTCGTTTATTTCAGAGAGAACATGTTGAACCACTGCTTCCGTGACAACAGCTTTGTACAGAGGAGTCCAGGTGCTGAACTGACCCGCCTGCAGTCCAGACCTCTCACCAAGTAAGTGTGCACCATGAAACACAGAAGGGTGGTACGGTGGTGCAGTTAGTAGAGCTGCAGCCTTTAAACGGAAATGTTGCAGGATTAAATTCCGGCCTGGGACCTTCATGTTCTCTCCGTGCTGTGTGGGTTTCCTCCCACAGACCAAAAACAAGCATGTTAAGATGATTGGTGACTGTAAACTTTCTGACTGCTGGACATGGCTACCGCTGATCCCTGTGACCCAGAGAGGAAGAAACTGGTAGGAAGGGAGGAACGAACGAACGAACGAACGAACGAACGAACGAACAAATGAAAAAACAAACATCCATCAGCCAGGACTGCTGAACAGCTAGAATACGCCATCAGACCAGAATGGAGCATTTCCACCTAAACTCCAGCCACTGGTCTCGCTTCCTGTCTAGGACTGTCTGCCAGCCTGTCTGTCTGCCAGCCTGTCTGTCTGCCTGCCTGCCTCACTATCTCTGTCTGCCTGTCTGTCTGTCTGTAGATAAAAGCAGAGGACCCTTCACAGTGAACACGTGAGCCTGCAACATCATCTCAGATGTGATGATGTCATCAAGTTTAAAATGATTTTATTTTATTCAAACATTGTGCAGTTTCTTAGTTTCAACATTTCATGTTTCTTTTGTTCCTTTGTGAATAAAATGTGTTGAGATTTTCAAATCAGATCAAAGCAGCCAGTCAGAACAGGGTTAGTCCCAAAGTTTTGCTGCTGGAAAGCAACTTAATTCACAAACGCTGAAATATTAAAATATTTCCAACAAACTGTTTTTAAACACCTTTAAGATCATCCGAGCTGAAAGTTAACTGGACGTTTTCTGGACATGGTGACTCCAGAGCTCAGTTCTGTTCCTACAAAGCTGATTTGGTGTTTGTCTGGAACCGTCTGATTCTGAAAGGTGAAAGGTCAAAGGAGGGCACTTCTCCCAGGCTCAGTTCACACAGGAGTTTGCCGACGACTGGTCCAAACTTGAAGCCGTGACCTGGAGAGGAGTTTCACAGTTAGTCAGTGCACGAGCACGGGCCGATGAGCTGAACAAAGATTTACCAGATCACTTAAAAAATGTGGAATAATACGGAGCCCTGATAGTTTTCTTTAAATAAAACGTCACAGTTCAAACGGTCTAATTCATCCCGGACTGGGACCGAGGAGGACTGATCTGTAAAATGCCTAAAGGGAACAGAGTTACTTTTGCATCGTGCTCTGGCTTACAGCTAGACTGGGATCAGTGGCTTCATGCACCGTTCATTCCCAGTCTGGAGAAGTGGACATGATGTCATGCTGGTCAAGGACCAGGACGATGTTAGTGTTCGGGACAGAGACAGGTCCACAGCAGTGCCACAGCCCTCTGTGTGGAGCAGAGACCATGAGGGCGTCCGGGGGAGCAGATGGTGGGGGTTAAGGGCCTTGCTCAAGGGCTCAGAGTAGGGCAAATGAGGGTGGAGGCAGGTGTGGGTGCTTCACCTTTTTCACCCACATGTTGATGTTACAGTCAGCCTGCACCTTAAAGATCCTGCCTGAGTCACCACACGGATTCAAGCCCAGCAATGAACACAGAGGAAGCAGCTCTTCAGTTCAGAGAGCTGAACCGACGGTAGAAGACTAGTCTTTTCTCAGTAATGGCCTCCTGTAGTTGAGTCCAAGACCGAGATGACACAATGTCTACTCTCAGATTGCAGCTGGATGATTCTCTGCTGCAAAGGTCTGAGCGGAAAATGGTGAATGTCAGCAGGACTAAAAAAAAACTGATCATGTTGCCATCTGACAGAGGTCCCCAAGCTCCTGCAGATTCTGGACTCGTTTGAAGTTATAAAAGCTCTGCTCTGACAGTTTGGCCATGTGCATTTCCTCTCACTGGAGATGGACGCCTCAGTAGATAGCAAACCTACAGGGTGATTTGTAGCCATGGCAACCCCTCCATCCATGCTTTTAGAGCTCTTGTCTTGGAACCTCCTGGCCTTTGATGAGAGTGGA